AAAAAAAGTAAATGTTTTAAATTTCCTTTTCTTCATGAATGTAAATGGATCCTCTATATATATGTATTAAAGTATATGTTGAAATTACAAATAAAATAAATAAGAATATCTAGAAGAAAAAAAAGAAGAAGCATGATTAAACATTTGGGTCATATAGTTAGGTTGCGTGTAGAATTACTTTTTTACAGCATTTTTTCACATGACATCTAATAAAAAGTTAATTTATTATGATTAAATTAATTTTAATTAATATTTTATATAATTTCATAATTATATTAATATAAAAAAACTTTTTTTAAAATAATTATTAAATAATAACATAAATTTACTCATAATAAAATAATAGAAAGCCTACAACCATAACACCTTCACAACAATCCTAAACATAACCTTAGATAATTAAATTTTTCCGGAAGGAGTAATAATTTGCGCGGATTTGGGACCTAGTTATGGTTTATGATGGTTTTAATTATAATAATAATAATAATAATAATTATTATTATTATTATTATTATTATATCTGCCAAGATGGTTTGGGGTAACAGTAGTGTCGAGTTTGGGCCCAGAATAGGGGAAGGGGATACTGGGATAGGTGAAAGGCTCGTGGTATTAGTTTGAGACCGTTGGGCTTGAGCCTAAATAAGGAAAGGGATAGGTGCAGTGCAGAGCTCAAGGTTTCAGGGCCCATTTGGCTGGTTTAAGTCGAGTTTGGGCCAAAAAGAAATGAAGGTCCAGGGAGGAAAGGTAGTGCCCTGGAAAATCTGAATTCAGCTTACTAAAAATATCTGGTAAGATTCCCTCGTCTTGAAAGCTGATTGACAGTATTACAGTATTAAACCAAAACTCTCAACCTCGTAATGTACTGAAATGGAAAAATTTTTTTTTTTTTAAATCAATAGTTGAGCTGTTCAACACCAAAAAAGGGCATTGTTGAGTTGTTCTTCCTAATCATTTGGTACAAATATATATATATATATATAAAACTAAAATGCACTGAAAGTTATCGCCCTCTATTGATCACAGAGTATGGTCTAAAACTACTACTCTGAATTTGAGATCACAAACACAAAATAGATGTTTAGAATTCATCATTTCCTAAACACAAACCAATATCAGCAAGGGAAAGGAAATGAACTAGAAAAAAGAGAATCAAAGAGAATCCAACCTCAAGCAAGATCTACTTTTGTTTTTATTCTTCTTCTTCCCAACCCCCTTTTTCTCTCTTTTGTGTTCTAAGAATAATTGCATAGACAAAAATTAAAAAAAAAAAAAATCAGAGAGATAGTATTCATACTTGCAGCATAAACATATATAATAAAGAAACTCAAATAAGATATGGTGACTAGGAGAAGAGAAATTGATTCTCTTTTTACTTGTGTGTGAAAGTGGGAGGTGAGAGGAGTAGGAAAAGAGGGAGAGGGAGCAGAAAACGTACCTGGGGTTTGAAGAGAGAGGAAGATAGGGAAGAAAAAGAGAGTTCTCAACACTGCTATAAATACAAAAGACTCTAAGGTTAACCATAGGATGTAAATACTAAGATGTGCCCTAGTATCAGTCCAACTCTAAAATCGCTTGATTCTTCTATTTTTAGGCTTCATTAATTAAGCGGTATGAAGGAACTTCAAAATGAATTAATTAAAATTCACTTTCTTGTAACGAAAAATGCGAAGTTTCTCTCTAGTGGGAGAGAGATTATATGAATTAATTAAGAATAATAAATTTAATTTTTATTAATAAAAATTTTATTAAGCTGAGTTCAAAAGTTTAAATTTTTAAAATACTAAACAATTAACTCTCTAATTAATATTAATAATAATTAATTGACCACTCTTTCATTCTAATGATAGAATTTTGGATGCATATCCGCTCAGAAGTACCATTCTCTTACCTAAATTATTGAAGAACTTGGCATCTGATTTCATGACTTGCAACTTCCTTGCCTTATTTTTGTTAATTTTTTTGCTTATTTGAAAGGTTTTTTTCCTTTTTTTCCCTTTTATTTTTCCGGTTTTTTAATTTTTGAAATAGCTCTATATCTTCAACCTTTTCATAATGATATTTTACTAATTTCTCATGTAGATTTTTACAACCTAGAGTATCATTTATAAACAAGATATAGGAAGTAAATACTAAGACGTGCCCTAGTATCAATCCAACTCTATAGTCGGTTGATTCTTCTATTTTTAGGCTTCATTAATTAAGCAGTATGAAGGAATACCAAAATGAATGAATTAAAATTTACTTTCTTTTAACAAAAATGCAAGGCTTCCCCCTAGGGAGAGAGGGATTATATGAATTAATTAAGAATAATATACTTAGTTTTCACCAATAAAAACTTAACAAATTAAGTTAAAAATTTAATTCAAGTTAAAAGTTAAAAATTAAAAGTTTAAATTTTAGAATATTAAATAGTTAATTCTTTAATTGACAAAAAAA